AGCAGGTCATGGGACAACGACCAATCACCAGGAAGGAGGCGGAGTTTACTGTAAAATGAATATGGTTCTCATATATCACTATCAGGCTGAGGCTGTAAGGAGCTCTCCTACTGGCTGTTAGAAACACAGCTGCTCTCACCTGAGCGTGACGCGGCCTCGTAACCGATCAATCAGTCTAAGGATCGATCTGGTGGTCCGGCTGACTGATTACACCATTTGGTAATGGCTGATTGATCCGGTTATTGATCTTGGCGATAACAGTAGCATGCTTCCCCCCCCCCCGGGCGGGACTCACCTCTGCCACTGAGCGAGCGCATGGCAGCTGGCGTGATGGGGGCTCGTGGTGGCGGCGGTGGGTTCTGACTGCGGGGTCGGGTCCCCATGCGCGCTCGCTCCTCTCCAGGCCCCAGCTGGATCCCTGACGGCGGTTTCTCCAGCAGAGCGACCTCTGGTGGGACCAGCTGAGCCTCGCCTGCCTCCAGGCTGTGTGCCGCCTCGCTGGGCGACTCCTCGGCGTCTGGGCGGCCATTCATCGGGCTCTTTGGGACCAGGATCTTGATGCCTGTTTTTGACAAGTCCACGCTACGGCGGGCGGGGCCGGCCGGAGACGCCGACATCAGCCCAAAGCTGTCAGCCGGCAGCGGCTGCTGTAGGGGGCGGGGCGGGTTGGCAGGGAGCAACTGAGCTGGGCTCGGAGGAGACCTCGCCTGGTTATGGTCGCCCAAACCGCTTCGGATGTCCGCATCGACGTCGCCGCGAGAGGCATGTGGCTTGCAGGGCGCTTTGTGGACGGGGCCCCAGTGAAGGTTAGGCGTGCTGCGTGTGGAGCGCAGCAAGGCGCCGTCTCTGTGGCGCTCGGCGTGCTGGCGGTTGAACTGGTGGACATACGCCATGCACGTGGACAGGTGACTCTCGGGCTCCCAGGTGTCGCCCTCAGCGCCGTACCCTCGCCACCTGACCAGGTACTCGACCCGACCTTTCCTGTTCCTGCGCCGGTCCACAATCCGCTCCACCTGGAGGACACAGAGGGCGGAGCCCACAATAAGCATCACGCCACTACTTTGGTGACGTCACATTGTGACGTATTACAGGTATTGTTCACTAATCAGATCAAAACTTCCTCCGCCGGAGGGCACGGACCACTTCAAGTGTGAGCTCCCAGCAGGCTCCCGAGGACAGTTACAGGGAGAGACCGGAAGGCTAACAGACAGCTACCATTGCGCTAACTGTGCGGCCCCTCTAGCGACTAGCTGTAGTTTTTCTCTGGACTTCTCTCCAACCGTCTGCCTCGGACTCGATCAGTCGATAACTGCCTACTTTGTTCGACTTTCCTAACTTCATAAACTCCGCCGCTTAGCATGTTAGCATTAGCTCACATTACCTCGTAGAGCTCCTCGGTCGCCATGGAGATGTCCGCGTGCACGGGCAGCTTCAAGAAGCTACTTCAGGGGCGCAGCAACATGAGGGACGGTGTGTGTGTATGTGTGAGTGTCGATCCGCGCGGAGCTGCAGGTGTGTGTGCTCCTGTTGGCTCAGGTAACTATACCCCGGTGTTAGCTGTTAGCACGGTGGCGTCTCACAAGCTTCCGCTCTGACTCTGACCATGACCTTCAAAATAAAAGCCCCACCACGACAGGAAGTGACGTATTGCAGTTTTATGCACTGATGTGTAATTTTCTTTTTATTTGTTTCTAATTTAAATAATTAAAAATGGAAACATGTTTATTTCTGCTATAAAATTTAACCAGCTGGGGCCTCTGCTGACCCTAGAGGAAGTGCAGTATTTGGTACTTCCTGTGTGTGTTTCACGTTTTTTTTCCCACTCTGGGATTCCAAAGGTCAGTTTTCCTTAGTTTTGCAGCCACAGTCAGAGCTGTTTTCAGTTGTCCATACACTAGGGGAAGAAGCTTCAATGCTTCCTTTATGACCTCCTTTAGCAGAGGAGACACTGGACCGTCTTTATGAAAAGGGAGGAGAAAATGGCGTCCCATAATTCGTTGTCCATCCGACCATTCATGAAAACATAATCGCAGTAACCAAAGCGGAGCAGATCATGTAAATGTCCATTCTAAGTGTTTTTTCTTTTCATTCAGAACCTGTATATATATTTATTTACAGCTTTTATCAGCAGCAGTGAAACTCACAGCTGAACCCTGAGCGTCACATGAAGAGCAGAACGCTGTATGAGCGCAACATTATGATCTATACGAACTGATCAAAGTGTGCTTGTATGATCAGTGATCGTTAGTAATGTCCAGTGTTGGGAAGGTTACTTTAAAAATGTATTCCACTACAGATTACAGATTACATGCCCCAAAATGTATTCTGTTACGTTACTCAATGAGAGTAACTATTCTGAATACTTTGGATTACTTCATATATTATCAAGCTTTTTACAACTACATGAATGTCCTATTGCTGTGTGATTTATTACTATTACTGAAGGTTACTCTCCACACCAACACCAACTACATGTTTAAACCTTAATATAAATGAGTAACAGTAGGTGGACATTAGGTAAGGCTGCACTTTTTGCAGCGATCTCGTATAGAAAACTATTCCGCGCGTATATAAATCAGGTCCGCGGCGCCGAACCGTAGTAACGGGACCTCTGGCTGATACATCGGGTTCGTGTCGGGCTCGTAGCCAAACACTAGCTTTACTTTGTTGTCTGGGTCGACTTTGCTAGCGAGAGACAGAGAGAGGTGATGAAAGGCTGCTCCAACAGAACTTATTGTTTCAGAGGAAACACGAACACAGTGTACAGTCGAGTCTTAACAGCTTACTTACAGCTGGACTACACTGCCCACGAGGCTACATTCTTTTTATGTGGAGTGAATAAATAAAAGTATATTTACAGTGGCCCCTAGAGACAAAGCACATACAAACTCTAAAACGCAACGGAAGTGCTCCAGGATGCCAGGGGCCGTGTTGAGCTTTTGTTACCTAGAGGCTACACAAGCAAGGAAGTACCAGCAATCGGATTGGGTGTGTGGTAGTAACAGGTAAATATATATATATAAAACAATAGACATATGAATTCGATTGTGTAATTTGAGTGATCTAGTAGCTCTGTTTTGGAAGTTAACACTAGAAATGTGTTTTGGAGTTTGTACGTGCTTCGTCTGTAGGGGCCCCCATAAATATTTATATATAAACATACATAAAGAAAACCATGTTTTTTTACATTACTAATTCCTTTTGTGCATAATTTTATATTGTTGCTGATAATTAATTAATTAATTAATTAATTAAAGCAACAAAACAACCTGAAGAGCCGGTTCTCTAAAAGGAGCCGGAAATCCCATCACTAGTGTCCGCTACGTTGAAACGCTCGGGCCGCTCTGCCCGCCACAGTTTCACACTGGTCATGTGACTGCATGGCCACATCTGATTGGTAAAAAAGTTACCGGAAACGCCACTGGCCGCATGTGTTAAACTAATTATTTTTTTAAAAAAGTAACGAGTCGAATTTTGCAAATGTAGCAGAGTAAAAGTACCGTTTCTTCTTCATAAATGTACTCAAGTAAAAGTAAAAAGTATCGCGCAAAAAAGGTACTTTAAAAGTACATTTTTTTTCAAAAACTTACTCAAGTAAATGTAACGGAGTAAATGTAACTCGTTACTACCCACCTCTGCATACAGGGGGCGTCCTGATAAAACATGGCAGCCTCATGTTTCCTTCATGCTTTTACCTGCAGCACCGAGGATCTAACACCTGAGCTCAAGGTTTCCCAGCCCAGGGTGGAGTCTGTCTTAGATATGAAGTTAAATAAACACAAGTTATTACAGTTTACAGGAAGCGTAGTGACATGGAATAACTTTAACATCATGCAGTTATCTGTAGAGAAGCGTTTGGCTGATCAGAAGAGTGAAATGTTTGTGTCAGATTTGTATTGCTGGATTGTCATTTATGCCTAGAAATATATATTTGTATATGCTTAGAAGTATATAATCGTTTGTCTCATCCTAGGAGGTCTGTAACAACTGTGTAGCATGAAGAGGGGGGTGCGTTCACTCCTCTCCAGAGTGTTCTGGCATAGATCACGCACCTCTCTGGATCATGAGCAAGGTCGTATCTTCTCTTCTGATATATGGTATAGCAAACACACGTATATCTGTTTAAGTCTAAGTGCCTTTGTTTAGATGAGCAGCAGGTTTAGGGAAGTCTTTATGGGGTCACACTCTGACCACACACACGCACACCGCACAGACACGGTACTCTTTGTGTGTATGTAGACGTCATATGTTAATGAACCTATGCATATTCATGTAACCTCAATAAAGAGCAGTGTTACGAGGGAGCGGACGAGAGCGACTGGGGTCAAGCGAAGGAACGGCGTTTGTCCGGTTCTCTCCTGTGCACGAGAAACTCGAAACTTCGCCTGCTCGGTGTTTAATGCTTTTTGCTGTGTAGTTGAATAGTCTTGAACATTCCAGCGAATAGGTTTATGCTACAAACCTCAGTTTGGTGTTCTCGAGTTCTGCAGTCTGATAAAACCGACCTCCGCATCAAATCATTTTACTTGATAAGTCCGGATACTTCTTTCTCCTGTGCTTGAATTTTACTTTTGCAGCAGCATTCATTTCAAAAAGCTTAGCGATAACTGAGTTCCTCTCAGCTGTTCATCAAAATGGTCTACCTTAGTAGTTAACTTTTTTATAGCCTCAACAAGAGCAGAGTCGGATCTTTGTCATGGCTCTTAAGCTTCAAGGCAGGAGCTGTGGACTGGATGCTGCCTGCAACCTCCGTGTAGTCGTGTTCACATGTGGAAGAGGCTATACCAGGTTTATCCTCTTTTCTCGGTCGGCATGTCAGACTTCTGGTTCTGGGGACGTGTTCAACATAGGGAAAAACATTCGGGGCGGGTAAAGGTGAGGCGACAAACACACACGTGCCCACCAGCTTACCGCCAACCTGTAACTGTAACACTGAGTACTTCCTGTGCGTACCTGTGTTGTAGCGGGACACAGGCTGGTTTGTGTTTGCACTCTGAAGGAAACAAAGTTTCATAGAACACATTTTCTTTGCTTTTGTTTTATTGCAGCTGTTCTAACAGAACTTTTTTCATCGATGACTCAGGCCGAGTTGTCACAGATCAGAGGAAAACGTCCTCGGCTAGGCCGTGATTCTGGATTGGTCTCAGGTCCTCTCGGTAGTCCTTGCCATCAGTCTGACTTTTTCTTGCTTTTTTTGTGGCCTCCCAGCGGAGGCGCTAACAGTGGCGTGCCATCTTCATCGACCACAGTGGGGCGGGCCTTAAAGCACAGGTAGCAGAAGCAGGCGCCGATGGTAAGTGGAAAGGCAACCAGAAAGCAGCCGAGCAGCGGCGTGTGGCTGAAGACGGGCTGTGTACGAGAAACATACAGTCAGACTATTTAAACAGGAAGCAGCATGATGATGATGATGATGATGTGACTTACTGCCAGCGTGACTCTGGTATCATAAACGAGGCGTCGGACTCGTTGAAGGGCGCCGTTTCCTCCGTGACCCTAAGGTAAAGAGCAGACAGATGTTCAGAATCTAGCAGCTGCTTCCTGTCTGGAGGTGAGCCTCACCTGACTCACCTGCACGCTGCCGTTCAGCACGCCATCCAGGAAGTCCAGCAGGTTCTGCTCCGTTTGCACAGTGCCAGGGGGCAGGAAGTAGCCATCATTGGACAGATTCACCACGATGAATGTGGGCACAATGATCTCACTGTTGAAAACAATGACAAGTCAGAGGCGTCCAATCAGAGGAGTGAAGCTGATGTCAGAGGTGAAAACTCACCCCATCACCAGGCCGCTGATGTAATCAGAGCCGGCCATGAAGCCGAAGTACATCTCCCTGAAAGGGCGGGGTCAGACAAGAGTGGGCGGAGAAAGGTAGAGAGAGAGAATGAGATCGGAGTTCGCGCCCTGTTTCCTGTACTTTTCAGAATAAAAGTCTGACCTGCTGTAGATCTCTCTGTGCTCTGCAGCCACACTTTCCAACAGACTCTTGTACCTGAACAGGTGACAGGAAATGCTTCAGAGCACAGTCACAGGTAAATTTTACCCTGAAGATGAGTACTTAGATACTTGGAACTTTTTATTGTCATTGTGCAGTTGCTTGCACAGCACAATTCGAATGCAAGACCACAAAGATGCAAAAGTAAAGAAAACAACATACAAAGGAAAAAAACAATATAAGTAATATAAGTACACTATATTCATGGTGTATGAGTTACAGAAACATTGAGGGGGTGTGTACAAGGACAATAATATAAAATCATAAATAAATAAGGGTGGAGGGGCTATGGTCACTAAGGATGGGACAGTAACTGCACAACCGCCAGAATATTGCACAGAGAGAGAGCAGATGGGGTTACCTGAGACTTTCTTCACACAGGTGCTTCTCCTCCACCAACGCCAACAGCACCAGCTTACCTGCAGAACAGAGGCGGAGTCACTGCACCTGAGCCAATCAGCAACCAGTGAGTGAAATCCAGGCATTTCAGTGCTTTGTCCCAAACAGACCCGCCTGCTTCCAGTTTCATTATTGTTCAGGTGAACGTCTCCCTGACAGGAAACTCCATGAACAGATGGGTCTGTTTCCAAAGTCAAAGTTGTTCAGTGCTTTGGCTGAAGGTACCTGATGACATCACAGTGCACTCAGGTGTTCTGTGGTACCTGTCTCTCCCATGGCATACAGAGTGTAGCTGTCGATCTGGGAGAAGTTTGGGAATCGTTCTCTGTTAATCCACAACTTCAGGTCCCCGTCACGTTCCTCTGAAAGACAGTAAGCAGCTTGTTTAAGTCAGGTGAAATGCACACAGCAAATGCATGAATTCCCCATGTCAGTCTGATTTGTAACAGAAGCGTTTTCTCAGAAGAGCTGACAGCAGATACAAAGCTCCATGTGCACATGAAGGAGTTACTAACCACATCAACCACACAAGATGTGAGACATCTTATTTCAAAGGATTCCTCAGTCTGCTTTTACTGCCACAACTTCCAATGACTGTGATCAGTTCAAAGTTCAAGCCTGGATCCTTTTAGCCTAGTTTAACCTGACTTCCATGCTGGATCTCATTGTCACACACCTGCACTTCTTCCTGCTGACATTACTCCTCCTACAGATTCTCCCTATTATCAGTCAGTGTCCTTCAACTGGGTGCACAGTGAGATTCAGCACTGACACAGCTCTGCTACGCTGGTGATGCTCAGCTGTATTTCTGTTAAACCTGAGTGAACACTTTAATGGATCTTCAGACTTCTTCGTTCTCAGTCCTGGTAAACTGAGCTTCTTGTTTGTGGTCCTGATAGCTTCTCTAAGGAGGTTATATCGGTTCCCTCATCAACAATATTAAATATTGGTGTTATTTTATCTATCTGGTCCAGAACTCAGCAGGCAGGACTGACTAAACAATTCTTGTTTCCCTTTGCCGTCTTCATTTTAAAATTGCATTGTTTTTATAGTTAATATTTACAGTTCAGAGCTAAAGTGTGTGCAGGACCATATGTTTTATTGTGTGAAGTATGTCTGTGAAGGTTCTCAGTCATCCAGGTCATCGTAGTCTAAGGAGCTTGGAAAGAAAAGCGTCTGGACTTCTTTAAGTTGCTTGAAGACGTTTCACCTCTCACCCTGGCTGATTGTGACACCCGCTTTCACACCTCGGCTCATGTGATCAGGTAGAGGATCATCAGGGGGTCCTTTTGTCCCTCTTTGGGGGGAAACTCCCACTGGGTTTAAATCTGGGACTCTCCATCATTTGACCTTAGAACTGAAGAAAATTCTCAGATGAGAGGTGAAACGTCTTCAAGCAACTCAAAGAAGTCCAGACGCTTTTCTTTGCAAGCTCCTTAGACTTTATTGTGTGAAGTTACTGTGTTGTAGCTGTACAACACGATTTTCAATTTTTTTTGTACAAACAAGTTTTGGTGGCTGAAGACATTTGTGCAGAGCTGTAGCTTTTTTGCTGTTATTTAATATTCCACGAGAAAGAGTTCTGTTGGCCTGTTCATCAAAATTAACTCACCGCTGTAGGTGAAGTAAGTCCCATCTTTAAATACCACCACAGCAGGCAGAGTGGACAGAGACACCGCCTGAAATAAAGACAGATTATCTACAGACTGGGACGCAGATTATCTACAGATAAAGACGCAGATTATCTGCAGACGCAGATTATCTGCAGATTATCCACAGATTATCTACAGACGCAGATTATCTGCAGATTATCCACAGATTATCTACAGATGCAGATTATCTACAGACGCAGATTATCTGCAGATTATCCACAGATTATCTACGGACACAGATTATCTAAAGACGCAGATTATCTAGGGACGCAGATTATCTACAGACGCAGATTATCTACAGACGCAGATTATCCACAGATTATCTACGGACACAGATTATCTACGGACACAGATTATCTACGGACACAGATTATCTACAGACGCAGATTATCTACAGACGCAGATTATCTACAGACGCAGATTATCTACAGACGCAGATTATCTACGGACGCAGATTATCTACGGACGCAGATTATCTACGGACGCAGATTATCTACAGACGCAGATTATCCACAGATTATCTACGGACACAGATTATCTACGGACACAGATTATCTACAGATAAAGACACAGATTATCTACGGACACAGATTATCTACAGATAAAGACACAGATTATCTACGGACTCAGATTATTAGAGTTAGTTTTGAGAAATCTCGCAAAAGTTCATTGTAATTTTTTTTCTCCCATGTCCCTTGCGGGGCTCCGTATTATCTACAGACTCAGATTATCTACAGACTTGGACGCAGACATGTTCGTCCAGGGTGGGAATGATGAGTATAAACATGTCTTTTTAAAGGAACACACTGACGTTCCAGGAAAATATTACACCTGCTGCTGGATGTCCACCACATTTTGAAACCTTGTGGACATAGGGGGGATTTTTAAAGTGTTTTAAAAAGTTTTGTCTCAGCATGTGGATAAGGTCAGCTCGATCAGGTGATGGACACGTTTGACCAACAGACGATAGAGTTTTCTGACCTTCGGTAGGACGCCTCTGCTGGTTGAGAAGAAGTAAGTGTGGACAATCAGCTGCTCAGCGACTGACGTGTAGTTTCCCTGAAACACACCACAGGTCAGTTGTGTGTGTGTGTGTGTGTGTGTGTGTGTGTGTGTGTGTGTGTGTGTGTGTGTGTGTGTGTACGTACCTTTAGCGGTGACGTGGCTCCTACATAAACAAACATGACATCATGGCGGCTCATGGCGTGCTGGAAGAGCTGCACACTACTAAGTGATCGAACCAGCGGCCTGAGCAATAAGACAGATTCCCAATGTGATATCATTGTGACATCACCGTCATGTTAAACATCATTTTCCCTTATTTTGTGTCGGCTGTCTAAACTCACCCAGCAATCCGATTAGCAAAGTCCATTATTCCATCTTTGGTTCTCACGCCTGAATAATTATATTTTATATTCTTCTTTAACCTGGAAACAGGAAACAGCTGGTTAAAGATCTGCAGCATGCCTGCATCACTGTCACACCTGTCACACCTGACCATGGTGTATCTCTGCCCGTTATACCACCTGACTGAGGTGCATCTGATGGTGTAAAATGAAACACCTTGTGGTGTTTGGAGCTGCGGTTTCAGTCAGTGGATCTTATGTGTGTGTGGCGTCACAGTGAGGACTTACATAAGGATGGCTGGATACGTTCTGACGCGAAACTCTTTGGCCAAACCTTCAGACAGAGAGAACACATCTGACCTCTGGGCTTTTATTTTGACAGTCACTGACAACAATTTGCTGGTAAATCAGTGCTTTAATTTTTACAGTGACTGACCGGTGTTGGCAGTTGCATCTGATTTGCCGACATGGACCGGAGAGCCGAGACTCCTATATTCTGATCCAATCTGATGCCAAACCGGATCCAGTTGTTTACAGAACGTACACCAGGGGGCGTAAAACTGCAGCGAGACACGACAGGGGCAGACGACACTCAGAAACACTCAAGAAGTACTCAGAAGATACACAATTGCATGACAAGTACTCTGAAATGAACTGCAATACAGTCTCAGAGGATGTTACTAACGTCCAATATCAGATTTCTCTCTGCTTTCAAAGCAAAATCGCTCTGCTCTGATTGGACCCGACTGTAGGATCAGGTAATCGCTCTGCTCTGATTGGACCCGACTGTGATGCAGGTGGAATGTCACCTGTGTTTTTCGTGCTTTTATCAAACAGGGTCAGTGCGGACGTGTTCTTTATCACGTGGAGTACCGCTCGGCTCCATCCTCAGACCTGTTCAGCTTGCATCTGTTTCCCTTCAGTTACTTAATCTGCAGGTATGCTCAGGTGGCCTCAGATTTCTACTGTCTTTGAACTGAACTTGGATTAAGTCTTTGTTCTTGATCCTAATCATATTTTTTTTTACCCTGGGCAAACAATTACCAATCTGTACAACCTCTTAATCAGTGATCATTGATCACCCCCCATCCCCCCGAGACCATGCAGTGCTTTTCGTGTTCTTGGTTCTTCTTGTTCGGTTGTGTTTTAACGCTGCTGCATTCTGTGAAGCACGACGTTTAGAAAGCTGCTGCAGACACGTAGTGTTTAGTATTATTATTAATAAGTACAAATAAAAATAAGTAAAGTACACACAGTACACAGAGTAAACTCATCTGTACCTTGATGAGCCAGATTTCATCGTCTCCTTTTGTCTCCATGAAGCTGAAAAGACGATCAATCAGCCTGATTAGTGATTACTGATCATCAACCTAAAGTCAGTTAAATTCAACATTCAGTTTGAACTCACGAATCATCGAGCTCCTCCACGAACGCCGCCGCAGACGCAAACAGCAGCACTGACCACACACACACACACACACACACACACACACACAGGTCCATTAACTTAGTCTCCAGGCCATTTGACCCCGATCCCACTGATCATGCTCTGATACTTCAGGCCTTCGTTCACCTGATACATTGAGTCACATGACTCCATCAGACGTGGAGTATCAATACCTCCAATTAAAACTTTCAGATTAAAGTTTAATCTCACAAACATCAATCTGTGATCAGATGATTTGGGACTGGCTCAGGGGGAAGCTGATTCTTAAAAATGGACTGTATGTATTATTGTAGGGTCTACCTTACAATATAAAGCACCTTGAGGCGACTGCTGTTATGATTTGGAGCTATATAGATAAATAAAATTGAATTGATTTCAGCTGAAACCAGAAACAGATTCAGACTGTTTTCAGATTAACAGCTCAGTAATCTGACTGTAATCCATCTGTAGGTTCTCGAGTCTCGAGCTGCCCTTTCCTCACACTCTGAAGCTACGATAAAGAGGAAGAAAGTTTGGACGTACCTGAGAGCAGGACTGTGGTCCTCCTGTCCGCCATAATGGCTGAAACTGGATTAACAGCACAGAACTAATCTGCTAACACAGAACACACTGCTAATCTTACAGATTAGCAGGCTGCATTCAACCCACTCAAACTTTATTCACAGCTGCTTCACATCAACAACAAATGCACAGCTGACATTAAAGCTGCGGGAGGCCAGAGGAGACCAGCAGGGGGCACCACTGCACCAGAGGGAGACAGGAAAGAAGGACAGAAGAGGAAAGAGATTTGGAGAAAAGGAAGTGATGAAGAAGAAAGGAGGAGAAAATGGACAAGCGGTTTAATGTTTTCTGCTCTACTGATCTATCTATCTAGATAGATAGATTGATAGATAGATAGATCGATCGATCTAGGCTCAAACAGAGCTCTGAGGCGTCTGTGAGGTGGAGGTGGGGAGCAGGTGGGCTGCACTAATGAGTCACACAGATTTAAACCACACAGAGTGGAGGCTAATTGGCTCAAAGAAGGTGGGCAAGAAGATGATTGGACTACAGTGATTTGAATGCAACCATCTGCTGATATTTTTGTTTTTATGGTGCAGCATGGACGTCAAATGAAAATAACATCATCACCATCATCGTTTATTTATATAGCACTTTAAAAATACACAAGGCCGACCAAAGTGCTGAACAACAGAAACATAATAGATACCATAAGAATAATAAATACGATAAAATAATAAACATAGCGAAAACAATAAAATACAAGTCAGTCAACCACTGAATCAAAAGCCAGTGAATAAAAATGCGTTTTCAATCTGGATTTAAAAACCAGCACTGATGTCGATCGCCTAATGTGAAGAGGAAGATTAGCTCAGGACCCACGATAGAGAACGCTCGGTCTCCTCTCAGTTTCAGCCCTGATTTGGGGACTGAGAGCCACAGCTGCTCAGCTGACCGGAGCGAACGAGTGGGGACATAGGGCTTCAGCAAATCAGACAGATACGCAGGTGCCAGACCATTTAAAGATTTAAAAACCAATAAAAGAACTTTAAAATGAATCCTAAATTCAATTGGAAGCCAGTGCAGGGAGGCCAGAACCAGAGTAATGTGCTCAAATGTCCTTCTACCAGATAAAAACTGTGCCGCAGCATTCTGGACTAGTTGCAGGCGTGTCCGGTCCAACCCCTATTAAAAGGGAGTTACAATAATCCAAGCGTGAGGTTATAAAAGCGTGGATAACAGTCTCCAAGTCACGCCTTGAAAGAAAAGGTTTAACCTTCGACAGACGCCTGAGATGATAGAATGATGATTTCACCACCGCATTCACGTGGCCATCAAGAGTAAGTGCAGAGTCGATTTTTAACCCAAGATTGGTAATCGAGCTCTTCAGGTGAGGGGTCAGAGCAGCAAGGTCAACATCAGGGATATCAGAGGAACGATTCGGGCCGAACAGAATTGCTTCCATTTTACGTTCATTAAAATTTAAAAAGTTTTGAGCCATCCATGACTTAACATCACTGAGGCAATCAAGCAGGAGTCTAATTTGGGAGCTATCAGAACGACTGAAAGGAAAATAAAGCTGGCAATCATCAGCATATAGACGAAATGAAACTTTATGTTTACGAAAGATCGCACCCAGTGGTGCATGTTCTTAATGTTCTGACTCAAGATCCCATGTTAAAGAGTTTCTACATGCTTTACAGTACTGTGAAATTAATTTATATAGCATCCACAAATTGTCACTAGTTGATTCTTTACCAGTGTGTGCTTAATAATGAGACTTTACAGGGCAGCTTTCATTTTTTATTTTTGCATATAATTTGTAGCATTACACATCCTGGTTCATTTGAAGGTAAAAAACAACAATCCGGCTTTTTTAACATTTCAGGGTTTGATCTTTAGAAGTTTTGGAGATGTTGATGCTCAAACACTGCTGCAGATTTCAAATTTCAATCACGCCTCACACATCATCATGTTTCTGTGGTAAAAAAAAACCTGAAGAAATTTAGCTTGAACTGAACTTTACTGACAAATTAATCAGAAAACCGAATCGATCACATCACAGGAAAATCAATCAATATTCACATGAAGCTCAAGTTTCCAATCAGCTGCGTAACCGTGAGTAACACAGTGATGTCATCACCATCAAAGGCCTGCATCACTCCCTGATCTCATTTCGTCTCTCCATCTGATCAAAACCTTTGACCAGTAAGAGCAGAACCACGAGGGCAGCATCACAGAGGAAGTTTGGCCTCGAGCACGGCGCCGTCAGATGAACTGGCGTCGGTGTGGCCCACGTGCTGCCTCGGTGTGGTGGAGTCCAAGGGGTTAGCGGTGGCCTCTGAGAACGCCTGCCTCTCTGATCTTCTGCTCGAGCCGTCGGCATCGCTCTCCATCCAGCACGACTTGCTGTCAGACACTGAGGATAGGCGGTTCTGAGCCTGGTGGCCATTGGTCCTGACGCTGGCATTAAGTCGACCTTTTGGCGAGCTGGTAAAAGTGGTACAGCGAGACGAAGTTGCGCTTGAGCTGAAAGAGGAGCGCAGGTCCTTCTCCTGCAGCCGTAGCACGCTGCGAAGAAAAGGGACATAGTGACCAATGGCAGCGCGGTACTTTGGGTGTGTGATGGCATAGATAATGGGGTTGTGGATGGCAGAGGCCTTGGCGATGACAGCTGGCACCGAGTTCATGTATGGAGTCAGCAGGTGTGCGTAGCCGGCGGTGGCGGTGAGAGCAACCACAGAGTATGGCGACCAGGAAACGATGAAGAGCAGGATTACTACCAGAGCCACCTTAGCCATTCGCCACTCGCTGCGCAGACGCTCATATGCCTTGTTGACCTCGCCACAGTTCAGCTGCTCTATTTCCCGCCCCGCCTGCTGCACTGCCCGGAAAATGGCAAAGTAGCACGCAGCAATGACAGCGAGTGGGATGAAGAAGACGAAGGAGAACAGCAGGAGGGTGTAAGTGCGTACAGCAGCTGTAAAGCTCATGTAGTCCCAGCTGCAGGATGTCTGCAGGCCTTCAGGGACGTAGGCGCTCCACCCGAAGAACGGCGGCAGACTCCAGCCCAGAGAGTACAGCCACACAACTGCCACCACCACCAACACTCTCTGATGACTCACCCCACCCAGCATCGCCAGAGGACGCGTGATAGCCAGGCAACGGTCCACCGCAATTGCCGTCAGCGTTATCATGGAGGTGATGCCAAAGAGAGCACCGCAGAAGGCATACAGCTCGCAGGCCAGCTCCCCAAACACCCAGCGGTGATGCAGGCTGGCCACAAAGAAGACCGGAGACTGTGTCAAGGACATCAGGAAGTCGGCGGCCGCCAAGTTAACCACTAGCAGGTTGCTGGGCGACCTCAGCGTCCGACTGCGACAGAACACGTAGATGACCAGAGCGTTTCCCAGCATGCCTGTTACCCCTACCAACAGGATGACTGAGCCAATGATGTAGTGGGCGTGGTCAGGGACATCCACGGTAGGAAACAGGTGAGACTGGGCGCGAGCACTCTGTGTAGGGGCGTGGTCAGGCAGGTGGAGCAGTTTAGACATCCTAACCTGGTGATGGTGCTCAGTGCAGTTTCCACCCAGAGGGCACAGAGCTGACTTCCTGCTCGAGTGGATGTGACTCATTGCGATGGCAGCCGGATGCCGGCAGGACGTCCGTGTGGCGTTAACAGGATTTCCGTCGGATGATGCTGAACGCTAACCGGATCGGTTGGATGTGGGCTCGAGCTCTCTTAGTTGGCTCTGCGTGCCGGCTCGGTCAGGCTGCGGCTCTTTATGTTGGCCTGATCGATGGATGGCGGCGCATTATCGAGTTGACCGATCCATTAACTCTCTGCACTCGGAGAAGAAGTAAACATCTGGATCAGATATGACCTGATTGCTGCAGGTTAATGTGGGCCGTTTCTGAGGTTAATGAGCTTTTAGTGAAAACACAGTCAGATGTTCATTTATAGGTCACAGTGTTTCCTGTCCAAGTCCTAGAAATGAGCCAAATCATTAAGTCATGCCATTAGTCAAGGACAGAGGGGAAAACGGATGGTTTTGTTTTTCAGCGTTCAGAGCTCAGAGGTCAGTTTGTTCTTCCACTGAAATGGCCCAAAGACACAACCATGAAGAGGAGAGATCTGTGCAGTGTCACAGCGAGACGTCGTAATCTCAGTATCTCAATACATTTTATTTGTGGGCGCCCTACTAAACCCAAGCGTACCACGCATAAAAGACAAGTAGTAAAAACCAGCATTGGACAACAATACTGAAGTCAATGTCAGAGAGGGTGAGCCAGTTTAAACAGATGGGACTCTTCCCCATAGTGGTGAGACGGGCAGAGGGAACAATCGGGTGAACGGCAGATGAAGACCCACGAGAATGAGAGGGAACGGCAACGTGGAGTGACTCACACAAGCAGGGATTGCCCAGGTTAGGGATACGTATGACAGCATTATTCTGAAGCAGAAAGTGGAACGACACCTGAGGAGAGGGCAGGTTGGAGGAGCTGCCACTATCAATGGAAAACCTGTGGGATTTGGTTAGAGTGGAAGCTGTGCTGACAAACTTTATTTTTATTACTACAGAGTTTGAGAAAATAGGAGGAGAGCCATGTTTTAACCTCCATGAGGCAGTCACAGAGGGGGATGGGTGGAAGGCTGAAACTGGGTTTGGAGGAAATATACAGCTGAGTGTCATCTGAGGAAAACCGGCAGACACAGGAAGTGTGTCACGGGCTGCGACGGCAGACCGTGGAGTTGTAGAGAAAGTAGGGCCCAAACGCGAGACTCAAGTGAAGGACAGTGGATTTATTTATGGCGAGTGGACAGAAACGACAACTATATACAATTCAAGCACTGTGACTCCTGTGGCGATTCCTCTAAGAATCCCACACAGTGCACGTGTCCATAGCAGTGAAAAGGTGACAACTCCAAAAACCCGATTCCACTCCGTGATTTCCCCTCGTGACGACGTTCCTGACTCCCGACTCCTGGTGACACAAAAACACACACAGCTCAGCAGGCAGCCTTTAGTAGCGAAGCCGATCACAACACACTAATCTACGGAGGTACTTAACAGGTTCGACTTAGTATAATCCCGCGCCGACTGGGGCTCCGCCACCTTCTTAAATAAGGCGCCCCTCATGAAGCCATCAGCTGCAGCTGGTGAGGGCTAATGGGCGGCAGGTGCGGCAGTCCCCAGTGCAGGAACACTTCCGGGTCGCAGTCCCCTCAGCGACCCCAAAACATCCGGGAGCACCCAGGGAGAAAGGACAAAAAGGGAGAGAAAACCACCATAACATATGGAAAAACATACAAGAAATACATGAGCTCTGGGTCATCAGACCCAGACCATGACAAAGTGAACTTTCAATAATGGAGGAGCAGTCCCAGTACCGAGAAAAGAGTCAATAATGGTGGTAATAAGAGGGACCAGTGAGGTAAGAATATAAAAATCCTTTAATTGACGCACAAGCGGAAACGCTCCTTCATGCATCGAGGATGCAGCAGTCTGTCACTGAAGCAGCTCTGCAGCAACATCTGCATGCATGGGGTGGGAGACTCTGTCCATCAGAGATGTTATTTTGGCCACAGTCCTTCTGTCTCCACCACCTGCACTGGGTCCAGGGTGCATCCCAGAACAGAGCTGGCCTTCCTAATGAGTTTATCCAACCTCTTCCTCTCAGCTGCTGATAAACTGCTGCTCCAACATACCACACTGTAAAAATGACAGATGCTACCACAGAGTCATAGAAGGTCTTTAAAAGCACTCCCTGTGCTTCAAATGACCTCAGCCGCCTCAGCAGGTGGAGTCTGCTCTGACCCTTCCTGTAAAGAGCATCAGTGTTGTGGCTCCAGTCCAGTTTATTATTCAGGTGAACACCCAGGTACCTATAGGAGTCCACTATCTCAATGTCCACTCCCTGGATGTTCACCGGTGTCAGTGTGGTGGGTCTGCGTCTCCAGAAGTCCACCACCAAGAAAAGCTTAGACTAGGACAGTGGGAAGAGGGTCCCTGGGGAGATGATTTAGACTCTTGAATCATTACTGATACATCTGATACTGAGGGGAGAGTGAAACGTGAACATTAGTAAATGGTAAACAAAGACTACAGATCTCAAGCTGCAGGTGGATACAGAGCTGCAAAGGATACAAGAGAGAGTTAGGTTAGAGAAGGAAAAGAGTGTGGAGATGCAGGAATATTGTTAAACAAAGGAACTTTGGGTTACATGCACGAGAATAGAATAAACCACAATAGTATTTAGATTTGGCCGAGGCAGTACAGTTCTTATGAAACAGAATGTGATTATTAAACATTTCTTTCTTAAAGAGGAATTTTGGTTGGCGCCCCTTAGATTTGAGAAACCCAACACGTTCTCACTCCCTAAGCGTAATATTTTACACTCGGTGACAAATCGTCAACATTTTACGCTCTCAGTTACCCAACACGTTCCTAAATGACAACATCGGAAAAAGGAGAACACATGAGAACCCTTTGGACTTTGTGAATCTACACATGTTCGTTCATTTTCCTAAAATCGCTTTGGAAAACACTATTTTACGCCATTTAACTGCTGGTTAGGGTTATGGATAAGGTTAGGTTTAGGGCTGGAATACATGGCTGGAACATCTATTACCGTGGGACCAAAAATAATACAAAAAAATAAAAAAAATGATTACAAATTTTTTTAAAAACATTTTTTAATAAGAGAAGTCAGTGAAACAGTTTGATTGAAAAACAAGAAGACGCCATAGATAGAAACACATTTGTGAAAAGCTCCTCATTTATGTCTCTAAAATGTAGACTTAAAGCCGGATGTTTAGAAAGCTTCTCTTTTTTCCTGACAAAATAAATAAATGAATAAATAAATATAACCCGGGTGAAAAAAAGCGACAGTGCAAATTCTCTGTAACAATCACAGAGCCCCTTACATCTGGATACTTCGCAGTTTTTTTAAGGACCAGAAGACTCACAGAAATGCTATATGTGTTAGCTAATCCGAGAGTTAGCTACAAGCTGCTGAAATATGGGACTGTTCATTTACAGTTACTGTACATGTATATACCATTACCTCTGCCACACAGCATTTTCAGTAATCTGTATTTATTTACTCTACTTTTTTAATAAAAATATATTTTCTTTATTCAATCTCTGTCTTCCTTCCCCCTCCCCAACCGGTCACAGCAGATGGCCCCGCCCCTCCCTGAGCCTGGTTCTGCTGGAGGTTTCTTCCTGTTAAAAGGGAGTTTTTCCTTCCCACTGTTGCTCATAGTGCTCATGGGGGTCATATGATTGTTAGGTTTTTCTCTCTATGTATTATTGTAGGGTCTACCTTACGATATAAAGCGCCTTGAGGCGACTGTTGTTGTGATTTGGTGCTGTATAAATAAAACTGAATTGATTTCGTTTATCTTATGTGCAGTTTTGACCTGCAGAATTTCGCTGCTGGAAGTGAAACTTGAAACAAAGCTAATGTGTGAGCTAACAGGAAATGCAGATGAGGAGTGGAATCTGTTTTTAAATTGTATTTGAAAAAAGATTTTGCTAAAACATGTTTTATTGCACACATTACTGAAGCACAAAGTCTGATGCTCATTGTCCGTCCCCCTGACGTGTGCTCAGAGTTACGTTTTTGGTTCCTGATTAATCAGAACCTGTTCAGTTCTGGCTAATTTTGAGCACTGAGTCCAGGTGAGCAGCAGGTGAGACGTCAGCTGCTTCACTCACGTTTGTGAATTATTTCCAATGAAAATAGTATTCTAGTATTCACTGATTAATAATCAGCTGACTGTCACAGCCTTATGTACTCATTGAGGCCTTTTCAAAGTTAAAAAGTGTTTAAGGCCTTCATATTTTCAAAGTAAAGGTCTGAGAGTGAATAAATAAGAACAGAAATTATTTTTTCTAAGCTTTTATTTTCATTAAAAAAGTCCACAAATAAAACTTTGTGCCGAGCCCCGTCACACCAGCTCATGTTCAGAACGCAGCTTGCTGGGAGGGGGCGTGGTGTCTGCGGACATGTCTCAGCAGCAGCTGGCGGTCCGGGCTCGAGTAGTCGCACTGTTGACATGGGAACGCCTCACCAGTGTGATGGCGGCGAGCATGGAGATCCAAACTCTTCTTCTGGATGCTGATGAGAAAAACAAAAACAACGCGGTCCAATTCTAGGGCTACCGATTGCTTTAGTAATCTATCAGTTTTTCCACAGATTAATCAGATCACACATCAGTACTGATCAATAATGAATCCTGACACAGGTGTTTCAGGACGAACTGCTCATTGGTTTCCAAACTGCAAACAACATCCGTGAAAACACAGATAAACCCTTTGATTTATGAGTCACATTCAATTTAATTTTCTATTATTCGAAATACTCGAGCAGCAGAGTTTGTGGGAGCACAGGTGTGCACCAGGTGTGTGTCAGGTGCGTGTCAGGTGTGTTACCTGCTGTAGTCACAGTGCTGACACCTGTACGGTTTCTCCTGGCTGTGAGTCCTGTAGTGTCGGAGCAGAGAGCTGCGATCGATGGACGCATACGGACACTCTGCACACCTGTACGGCTTCTCACCTGAGATCACACACGGGACGCACAACGTCACCTGACAGTCACATGACAAGGGCTCGCAGCTTTCTGTGTGTTCCCTGTGTGAGTCTTCAGGTGTGTGTGTGTTACCCGTGTGAGTGCTCAGGTGTGTGTGTGTTCCCTGTGTGAGTCCTCAAGTGTGTGAGTGCTCAGGTGTGTGTGTGTTCCCTGTGTGAGTCTTCAGGTGTGTGTGTGTGTGTGTTACCCGTGTGAGTCCTCAGGTGTGTGTGTGTGTGTGTGTGTGTGTGTGTGTGTTGTGTGGTCTGTGTGTGTGTGTGTGTGTGTGTTTGTGTGTGTCTGTGTGTGTGTTGCTGTGTGTGTGTGTGTGTGTTTGTCTGTGTGTGTGTTTGTGTGTGTGTGTTGTGTGTTGTGTGTGTGTGTGTGTGTGTGTGTGTGTGTGTGTGTGTGTCTGTGTGTGTGTGTGTGTGTTACCTGTGTGAGTCCTGTGTTGTGTGTTACCTGTGTGAGTCCTCAGGTGTGTGTGTGTCCTGTGTGAGTGTGTGTCTGTGTGAGTGCTGTGTTGTGTGTTACCTGTGTGAGTGCTCGTGTGTGTGTGTTACCTGTGTGAGTCCTCAGGTGTGTGTGTGTGTGTGAGTGCTGGTGTGTGTGTGTTACCTGTGTGAGTGCCTGTGTGGTGCTCGTGTGTGTGTGTTCGGTGTGAGCTTCAGGTGTGTGTGTGTGTGTGTGTGTGTTACCCATGTGAGTCTCAGGTGTGTGTGTGTGTGTGTGTTACCTTCCAGTGTGTGTGTGTGTGTGTGTTACCTGTGGTCTTCAGGTGTGTGTGTGTGTTGTGTGAGTGTGTGTGTGTGTGTGTTACCCATGTTGAGTTCAGGTGTGTGTGTGTGTGTGTGTGTGTGTGTGTGTGTGTGTGTGTGTGTGTGTGTTGTGTGAGTCTGTGTGTGTGGGTGTGTGTGTGTGTGTTTACCGGTGTGAGTCCTCAGGTGTGTGTGTGTGAGTCTGGTGTGTGTGTGTTACCTGTGTGAGTCCTCAGGTGTGTGTGTTTGTGTGTGTGTTCGTGTGAGTCTGTGTGTGTGTGTTTGTGTGAGTGTTGGTGTGTGTGTGTGTTACCTGTGTGAGTCCTCAGGTGTGTGTGTGTGTGTGTGTTCCCTGTGTGAGTGCTTCAGGTGTGTGTGTGTGTGTGTGTTACCCATGTGAGTCTTCAGGTGTGTGTGTGTGTGTGTGTGTTGTGTTACCTGTGTGAGTCCTCAGGTGGTGTCTGTGTGTGTGTGTTGTGTGTGTTAATGTTTGTGTGTGTGTTTGTGTGTGTGTGTGTGTTGTGTGTGTGTGTGTGTGTGTGTGTGTGTGTGTGTGTTTATTACTGTGTGTCTGTGTGTGTGTTGTGTTACTGTGTGTAGTGTGTGTGTTGTGGTTGTGTGTTGTGTGTGTGTGTGTGTGTGTTACTGTGTGTGTGTGTGTGTGTTACCATGTGTGTTGTGTGTGTGTGTTACTGTGTGAGTCCTCGTGTTGTGTGTGTTCCCTGTGTGAGTGCTCATGTGTGTGTGTTCCCTGTGTGAGTGCTCATGTGTGTGTGTTACCTGTGTGAGTGCTCAGTGTGTGTGTGTTACCTGTGTGAGTGCTCGTGTGTGTGTGTTACCTGTGTGAGTCCTCAGGTGTGTGTGTGTTACCTGTGTGAGTGCTCGTGTGTGTGTGTTACCTGTGTGAGTGCTCATGTGTGTGTGTTACCTGTGTGAGTGCTCGTGTGTGTGTGTTACCTGTGTGAGTCCTCAGGTGTGTGTGTGTTCCCTGTGTGAGTGCTCGTGTGTGTGTGTTACCTGTGTGAGTGCTCATGTGTGTGTGTTACCTGTGTGAGTCCTCAGGTGTGTGTGTGTTACCCTGTGTGAGTGCTGTGTGTGTGTGTTACCTGTGTGATGCTCATGTGTGTGTGTTCTGTGAGTCTGTCGGTGTGTGTGTGTGTGTGTGTGTGTGTGTGTGTGTGTGTGTGTGTGTGTGTGTGTTACCTGTGTGAGTGCTCGTGTGTGTGTGTTACCTGTGTGAGTGCTCGTGTGTGTGTGTTACCTGTGTGAGTCCTCAGGTGTGTGTGTGTTACCTGTGTGAGTGCTCGTGTGTGTGTTACCTGTGTGAGTGCTCATGTATGTGTGTTACCTGTGTGAGTCCTCATGTGTGTGTGTTACCTGTGTGAGTCCTCAGGTGTGTTACCTGTGTGAGTGCTCAGTGTGTGTGTGTTACCTGTGTGAGTGCTCGTGTGTTACCTGTGTGTGTGTGTTACCTGTGTGAGTGCTCGTGTGTGTGTGTTACCTGTGTGAGTGCTCGTGTGTTACCTGTGTTAGTGCTCGTGTGTGTGTTACTGTGTGAGTGCTCGTGTGTTCCCTGTGTGAGTGCTCATGTGTGTGTGTTACCTGTGTGAGTGCTGTGTGTTACCTGTGTGAGTGCTCGTGTGTGTGTGTTACCTGTGTGAGTGCTCGTGTGTTCCCTGTGTGAGTGCTCATGTGTGTGTGTTACCTGTGTGAGTGCTCGTGTGTTACCTGTGTGAGTGCTCAGTGTGTGTGTGTTACCTGTGTGAGTGCTCGTGTGTGTGTGTTACCTGTGTGAGTGCTCGTGTGTTACCTGTGTGAGTGCTCGTGTGTGTGTGTTACCTGTGTGAGTGCTCGTGTGTGTGTGTTACCTGTGTGAGTGCTCGTGTGTGTGTGTTACCTGTGTGAGTGCTCGTGTGTGTGTGTTACCTGTGTGAGTGCTCGTGTGTGTGTGTTACCTGTGTGAGTGCTCGTGTGTGTGTGTTACCTGTGTGAGTGCTCGTGTGTGTGTGTTACCTGTGTGAGTGCTCGTGTGTGTGTGTTACCTGTGTGAGTGCTCATGTGTGTGTGTTACCTGTGTGAGTCCTCAGGTGTTGCAGCAGTGAGGCCTTCAGCCGGCTGCTGTAGGAGCAGTGAGGACAGGTGAACGGTTTCTCTCCCCCATGAACGCCCAGGTGACGCCTCAGAGTCAGTTTAGAGGAGAACTTCCTGCTGAGAAGAAATGCCATGACATCACCAGGTCACGTGACTCTGTGCAGTGAGGGATTATGGGTAACGTGGTTACCTGTGGCACAGCGAGCAGCTGAAGCCCGTCTGCTTCCCGCTCTCTGCTGTCAGCTGCTCGCCGTCTCCGTTCGTCCTCCTTGTGGTTTTCCTCGTGGTCTCCATGGCGACCGGCCGTGATGCGGCCCGAGCTCTGCTGGCCTGCCTGAAAACAAACACGCACACAGGCTGTGTTCCGATTGGCTGACAGACATTCAAACTGGTTTTTAATCATTTCAGATTCTCTGTAAAAATCCATTCAGTGTTATGCTGACGACATCCAGCTTTACCTGCCCACCAACCCCAACTCTGCTCTCCCTCCACCCTCCACCACCCTCTTAGCTGAACTTAGTTCATGGTTTTCCTCCCACTTTCTTAAAGTCAACAGCAACAACTCGGAGCTTCTCCCGGTCGGCTCCAAATTATGGCTATCCAGAGCTAACTGTTTTTCTGTTACTATCAAGAACTCATCAGTTTCTACCTCTCCCTCTGTGAAAAGTTTGGCTGTCATTCTTGACAGTGCACTATCCTTTAACTCTCACTCGCTCAGCATATTTCCAACTCCGCCCCTTCTTCACTCCACATGCGCCTGCTATCCTCGTCCACAGTCTCGTTACCTGTCGGATCGACTACTGTAACTCGCTCTTACACAAAAATCCATCAACAAGCTTCAGCGTGTCCAGAACGCTGCTGCCCGCATTATTACTAGGACTCACCACTATTCTGAAGCAGCTTCACTGGCCGGCGGTTAAACTTCGCATTAATTTTAAAATACTCCTCTGTACATTTAAGGCAATTCATTCTCTCTGCCCACCATACCTCTCTGGTTCGGTACAGATCTCCATCCCATCCTGGTGCCTCAGATCCTCCTCTTCCTGTTCCTTCCTCTCGTCTTGTTTCTATGGGGGACTTGTAGTCGCTCTGCCCCTCCACTTTGGAATTCCCTCCCCCTCCGACCTCAGAAACATCACCTCATTCCCTTTTTTTAAAGTCCACCTTCTAAACCCACCTGTTCAAGACAGCCTACTGTAGAGAACCTCTCCATGCTCTTAAACTTTCTTTTATCACGTTTATTTCCTGGTTTTATGCCTCTTTTATTTGCTGTACAGTGTCCCTTTTAAATAAAATGTATTATTATTATTATTATTATTATTATTACTATTGTTATTATTACCTGTCAAGAAGCTCCGCCTCCTTACGCTTTGCACGTCCAATCAGCTGGCTCCTCCATCCATCTGCAGAAAACTGATCAGTGTTAGTGTTCTTATTGATTACTGATCGATGGTACAGAGCTGGGCACTCACTGTGTTTCCGTGGTTTTTCAGGAGCGCTTCTCAGCGTGCTGTTTTCGAACTTCCTGTGACAGACCGCCACCGCGGTTTTCTTCTTCTTCTCTTCCCGCTCCCTCCTCCTTTTCCTCCTCTGGCTACAGCGGCTCCTCCAGTGATGCTCCACCTCCTCCCAACTGTCGGCCATCCAGTTGCAGCGCACGCAGCCGAAACCGCCGCTGGCACGGTGTGACCTGACATGGACATCAAGCAGCCGCCGCGACGGCAGTTTTAATGGGCAGAGCAGACACAGCAGGCTGGGGGGCGGAGCCTTCGCTTTGTTGTTGGCACTGCTGTCATGTGGTTTCGTGAGCTGTGTGGACGGTGAGGAAGAAGGAAGAGGAGGAGCTCTGACTGCAGAGATCCGACACAGCCCAAGGGTCATCAGGTGGGCGGACTGCGCCAACTCCTCTTGGGAGGCGGGGGTGTCGGCCAGAGAGGATAAAGAGCCCCCCTTCAGAGTGAAGATGGAGGAGTCCTCCTCCTGCTCCTCTTCCTCTTCCTCAAAGAGTGTGGTGACCTGCATACAAACCACAAGATTAAGGTGTGGCTACCAGGTGTAAGGACACCTTCAGAATAAAATAAGATAAATAAATCAAAAAATAAATACATTTCAACTTAATTTGAAAAGCTAAATCATAAATAACCGTCTGACTATGAACTTCATATTGTTTCACCTTTTAAAATAAAAGCTCAAAATCATTCTGTTCTCTGTGTGTGTGTGTGTGTGTGTGTGTGAGGTTATCACCTCACAGGTGTGGGCCACCTGCAGCCCGCCCTCACTGCTGATGTCACAGGTAGCCGGGCTCAGGTTGTCCAGCATGTTGTAGAGCAGGAAGTCCTCATCTTCGTCACTCTGCTTTAGCTGATAGGGTGACGCTCCCTGCTGGAGCCCCGCCTCTGCCCCGTCCAGATAGGCGTTGGGGCGGTGCGTGAGCAGCAGGTGGCTGTTAATGGAGGCTTTGATGCCACAGGTGAACTGACAGAGCTTACAGCGATAAAGCTCCACCAGGAAGGACTCCACTAGCCCCGCCCCCACGCCCTCCACCTCAGCGCAGTACAGGCTGGAGCTCACAGCTCCGCCCCCCAACTGCAGGGTCACAGGGCTGATGTCACGGTACCGCTGCTTCACCCACGACATCGCTATGACATCACCATGACATCACGGTGTGAGGTCCGTCCTTTGGCCCTGCTGGAACACAGTCAGTGTAAATAGGATTTATCTCAAAAAACCGCCTGAATTCAAACACTGACCAATCAGAGCGCAGCAGAACCGAACATCCGTCCAGATATCAGCAGCAGTCTTCGTTATTCTACTTTATTCCACAGTCCCAGTACTCTGACTACTCTGAGTACTTAGAGTACCAACCCCTCTGCTTGATGACGAAACGTACCTTAAGCCGAATGATTGGCTGATCTAGGGCAGCGCGTTCGCCGTCCGCTTTAGCTAGGCTCGCGCGGGAAGTGCAAAGACGCGGAGAAGGCTAGCAGGCTAACGGCTAACAGTGTTTCAGAGCAGGAACGAATCGATACGTCACTAATAGATCAATAAATGAGCTCCCAGGTGAGACTGCGGAGCGCCTCACTAAAACTCACCTGCTCCTCTTTGTTTACATCCGCTCCTATTTCTTCTTCTACGGTTTATTCGGCTCCTCGGAGCCCGCCGGCCGCTCTGCTGCCCCCAGAGGAGGCTTTAAAACCGACAGCACAGAGCTCAGGTTTAAAACGGAGAGAGCACGAACCAAACCGGCTCCCTGTTTTCAGGATTACACAAAGTCTGTCGGACACACTGTTCAGATTATCAGATTACATGAGATTAACTTCAGTTCACTCTTTCACAATAAAAGCTCCAAATGTTTTGTTTGCTTTAGTTTAAATCTGGCTTTTAAGTCCAGCATGTATCTTTATAACATTTATTTGAGTGTGACGGTGATAGTGTGAACTGATGGGGGGGGGGGGGGGGGGGGGGGGGGGGGGGGGGGGGGGGGCTGTCACATGTCTCTATGGTAACCATATGCGTTAACAGCAGAAGAGAAATGAGGAGAAAATCAGGTCACGTGACCTGGCTGTTTTTTCCTGTCTAACAGGAAGTGTTTGACAGACGTCAGTGAAACAGGAATCAGCCGCATAGCGTGACAGCAAGTTCACACTGTGCAGTGTTGCATGACAAGCTGTGACCGCACACTCACAGACACATACACACGTGTTTGCCCACGTTGGTGGTCCTCAGAGCGCTTCACTCTCTGTTACATAATCAAGAAGGTTTATCCATAAACAACAGGAATGTCTTAAAGACATAAAGACCTGGATGGCCGCTAACTTTCTGCTTCTTAATTCAGATCAAACTGAGGTTATTGTACTCGGCCCTGAAAATCTTAGAAATATGGTATCTAAGCCAGATTCTTACTCTGGATGGCATTACCTTGGCCTCCAGTAACACTGTGAGGAACCTTGGAGTCATTTTTGACCAGGACATGTCCTTCAACGCACATATTAAACAAATATGTAAGACTGCTTTCTTCCATTTGTGCAACATCTCTAAAGTTAGAAATATCCTGTCTCAGAGTGACGCTGAAAAACTAGTTCATGCATTTATTACTTCCAGGCTGGACGACTGTAATTCATTATTATCAGGATGTCCTAAAAACTCCCTGAAAAGCCTTCAGCTGATCCAAAATGCTGCAGCAAGAGTCCTGACAGGGACTAGAAAGAGAGAGCAGATTTCTCCTGTTTTGGCTTCCTGTTAAATCCAGAATTCAAAATCCTGCTCCTCACATACAAGGTCTTAAATAATCAGGCCCCATCTTATCTTAATGACCTTGTAGTACCATATCACCCTATTAGAGCACTTCGCTCTCGCTCTGCAGGCCTACTTGTTGTTCCTAGAGTATTTAAAAGTAGAATGGGAGGCAGAGCCTTCAGTTTTCAGGCCCCTCTTCTGTGGAACCAGCTTCCAGTTTGGATTCAGGAGACAGACACTATCTCTACTTTCAAGATTAGGCTTCAAACTTTCCTTTTTGCTAAAGCATATAGTTAGGGCTGGACCAGGTGACCCTGAATCCTCCCGTAGTTATGCTGCAATAGACGTAGGCTGCCGGGGGATTCCCAGTGAATCAGGCTCAGTCCCTCCCTAATCCTGGTTCTGTTTTAGAGGGAGTTCTTCCGCCTCACTGATTGCGGAGGGGGTGGTGTGGATGTTGGGGTCATCTCTCTGTACTGGGGGTTGTTACCTGTCAGTATGAAGCATGTGTTGTGCACAGGTGACATGACGTGAACTGTATCCCGGTTTTGTGCTTTCACAGGCTGAAGGTGTGCAGGAGCCCTTTAAGGTAATGTGCTCACAAGTCACGGAAACTGCTGCCAGTCTGTGTTTGTCACCTTAAACAGGAAGTAGAGATAAGCAGAGAAGAACAACATGTTCAGTGTGTGTGACCACAGATACCTCAATACTACTACCACTCCAGCTGGTACAACACTTCTCACTGCAGACGTGAGGCACCGTGTCGGCCCGGAGTGAGGGGGGGAGGGGGGCGTTTAGGTCAGAGCGAGACAGTCGTGGGTTGTCTCTGATATTAGGGAATGTTTGTTGTCATGGATACAGTGGTCGGCAGGCAGTGAGAGTGATGTTTGAAACAGGAAACGATTTGAATGTGTGTAGTTTTGGTTCAGCGTGGCAGGATGATTCATACAAAGCCCAACAAATCTGACCCCCCCCCAACACTTACACTCATTCTGGGAAGAAGTGTGCCCCCCTCCAGGTGCACAGACCCAGGGCCGAATGTCATCATTTCTTCAGTGTGTTTAGCTTTAGCTTTGTGACTTTGTTGTTTTTAAATATTTGTTTGGGCGGCTTTATTTTGAAGGCTACAGTGAAGAGTGACAGGAAAGCAGAGGGACGAGATGCGGCAAAGGGCCGCGGGATGGATTCAAACCCAGGCCGGCCGCTCTCAGCCATGGGGCACGCCCGCTCTCAGCCATGCGGCCACCTGTGAATGTCGTCTTTGATTGCTCAGGTAGAAAGTTGTACAAGTCAAACTGCACCCAGATCAGTTTCACACCCTGGCGGATCTGTGAGTATAACCTGCAGCAGCTTCGTGTCTGTGACACAGAGCAGCAGAAACCTGAGGAAATGTCACCAACTGCATTCTGGGTAACCTCTCAGGCTTCACCATGTGAGCCCGGGCAAGTCCCGGTGTGTGACGCTGCTTCTGTTTTCAGTTGTTAGGAGCTCCCAGGTTCAGCCAGCTGATTTTCCCCGACTTCCTCTTTGTGGTGTCCGAGCTTCTCTCTTTTTATTTTCCTTTAAACTCTCCTCAAAACAGCTCAGCACCTACAAAAGGCCTCCTTTGTACCACAGTGCTGTGCAGAAGTCATCTCCTTACATGTTGCTGTGATAAATGGAAATATCAGCCAATAGCAGAGTTTGTACAACTCTAACCAGCTGTAAGTAAATATTGGTTGTTATTCTCAAGGGTTCAGATTCAGGATCATTGGATTCTGGGGGTCTAACAATCAGGGATGTTGATGCGTTCGTGCTCACTGTCTACTCGTTATGAAATCGTAGCCACTCCTCTTAGACAGCTGATGTAACTTCTGCTTTCATACGTCACTTTTGTGGTCTAACGGACTTAGAGTGCAAAAAGCGCCAAACAGCGAGACACACCAGAGACGACGAGACGCCTGACGGTGAGTCCACGCCTGTCTGTCTGTGTCTGGTCTTTGTTTCATGGGGAAAGCGGCGAGCTGCAGACTTTGATTTCCGAGCGCAGTGTAAAGATGTTTTTCACTTCATCATTAACCATCCCATAATAGTCTAGTTGTGAGCAGATCTCAGATCGCCTCACCACAGACTCTGAGATTTCAGATGATGTTTCTGGTTTTAGTGGTTCTAACAGGCACACGACGATAAATAACTGCTCGTACTGCAGCACTTTTAATTTCCCTTTGCTATTTGGGACCCGATGAATGTAAAACACAGAATTACCAGATTTGTGTTTCTGGGAAAAATGAGATCCACATATGAGGACTTTCATTTTACATTTCAATAGAACAGTAGCAGCATAATGTCCTCGTAAGTGGATATCAGGCTCTTGTAGAGCAAAATTTAGTATTTTGGTCTAAATAACCCAAAATGTGACGTCCACATATGTGGACGCAGGTCCTAGGAGGACCAGGAGATTTGTGACTCACAGACACGTCTGGAGAATTTAAAGTACTCTGGGATCAGTAAAATTATTAATACTTCTTGTATTAAATGTAAATGACCCAAACACTCAAAGTTAGGTACTCTGTGAGACGAAGAGCTTAAATTTGAAAGTGGTCAAACCGAGGACTCATTTTTATGCCTGAAACATTCAAACAGTCGAGTTTTCAGTGTTTGAGCACGTGATCCGCTTTAATCCTCAGCTTCATTTAAAGAAACGAATTCTTTAATGTCTGTGAGTTTGACGGTTACACAACGTTTCACAGCACTTATATTCACCCCAAGGCTTTTATTTTGGTAAAGCTATTGTACGGGGGTACTTTTATAGTGTAGGCTCAGGGCTCAGTAGTACTATTTAAAAATACAATACAGTTTATCACAGAGTAACAGAGTAAAAGTACTTCAAAGAGAGTAAAAATATGTCCTTTGTCCTACTCTGACTAAAAACAACGTGAAGCAACACAGACATGAGTCAACAGCAACAACGCCACAAACTACAAAAAGCATGTGACCAGCGAGCGTAGGAGGAGCGGGACCAGGCTTGTTCTTTTATTTTGTTTCCTCCTTTTGGAGGTTTTGTTTGTGTGAAACTCGCTGCACCTTTTCTAACCCGAACACCTGTGTTTGTAGATGGATGACCTTTTCACCATGAATGTGACCTCCATGGATGACATCATCACAAAAATGATCACAGAGGTAACGAACCCTGATTATTTATTGATTTATCCAAGTATGTATCAGCAGAGTGCTCAGGTGTGCTCAGGTGTGCTGTCTCTTTCCATCAGGAGCCGTCTGCTTTCAGTCCCTCGGCCACCTCTGACAACTATGACTACTCAGACGACTACGGAGACTTGCTATGCGACCGGGAGTCGGTGCGGGTGTTCAGGAGTCACTATGAGCCACCGCTCTTCTGGATGATCGCCCTGGTGGGCGGAGCCGGGAACCTGGCCGTGGTGTGGATCTACCTGAACTTCCGGCGCCGGCTGAAGACGATGACCGACGTGTACCTGCTGAACCTGGCCGTGGCCGACCTGCTGTTCCTGGTCACGTTGCCGCTGTGGGCGGCCGAGGCGTCGCACAGCTGGATCTTCGGCACCTCCCTCTGCAAAATAAACTCCGCCCTCTACAAGGTGAACCTGTTTAGCAGCATGCTGCTGCTTACCTGCATTAGCGTGGACCGTTACATCGCCATCGTGCAGACCACAAAGGCGCACAACTCACAGGTGGAGCGCCTGCGCTGCAGCCGTTTGGTGTGCGCGGGGGTGTGGCTGCTTGCACTGCTCCTTGCCACGCCCGAGCTGGTATTTGCTGCCCCCGCAAAGGTGGAATCGCAGGACTACTGCCGTATGGTGTTCCCGAACCACCTGGGGAACAACACCAAGATCCTGGTACTGTCCCTGCAGGTGAGCATGGGCTTCTGCCTGCCCTTCATCGTCATGGCCTTCTGTTACAGCGTCATCGTCGCCACGCTGCTCAAGACCCAGGGCTTCCAGAAGCACAAGGCCATGCGTGTCATCCTGGCGGTGGTGGTGGTGTTCGTTGTGTCGCAGCTGCCTTACAACAGCGTGCTGGTGATGGAGGCGGTGCAGGCCTCCAACATCACCATCACGAACTGCGATCACCTGAAGGCCTTTGATAAGGCGGGGCAGGTGCTGAAGAGTCTGGCCTACATGCACGCCTGCCTCAACCCCTTCCTCTACGTCTTCGTGGGCTCACGGTTCCGCCGTGACGTGGTGCAGCTGCTGCGCTGCTGCCGCTGCGTGCCACCCGTCACCAAGATTCAGCTGTCCACCAAGTCCAGCAGGAGCCCGCTGAGCTCCACCCGAGCCTCGGTGATGTCTGACAGCGAAACCTCGCAGGCGCTGTCGCTGTAGAAACCGTCACTGCGCAACTTCCTGTTTGTGCCAGGGCAGCTGCAACAGCAGACCTTGCCAACGGAAGACGCCTCGATCGCAGGAAGAGTTTTTAAGAAGCTTTGATTCAACACGTGTGCTGCTTCACCCTAACATCCACCCACAGACAGTCACAGCCCGCTCACCTGAGAACACCTTCACCTCAGAGCACAGGACAGGTGGAGGCTGGGCGCGCCTGCTGGTTACAGCTTTTACAGTTTTGGGGAAAACAAAAAGAAACCTTTGTAATGAGAATGTAAAACCTCCACATCATTTTCTGAGCCAGGACTTTTCCAGGTGTTTCCAGGACTTTTCAGGGCTTGCTTGTACAGTAAACATGAAGCTGTTTTTAAATGTGACGTTTTAGCTGCTGTATCAGAGACGGGACCGGTCTCCTCGCTGCGTTTGAACAGAAACTGAGCCAAAGCTGAAATGTGACTAATGCTGTATATAACCCTGTTTGTGTGTGTGTGTGTGTGAGTGTGAGTGTGTGAGTGTGAGTGTGAGTGTGTGTGTGTGTGTGTGTGTGTGTGTGCGTGTGAGTGTGTGTGTGTGCGTCACACCAATGTAAATGTTTTGGTTTTCTGAGTTATGAAAATAAAGTGTGAGAGAAAAACGGGGAAGTTGATGAAACGCTGTCGCACTCTTTTCTTCACATCCTTCCTTCTCTCATCCTGTTTATGATCTTTGTTCTGCAAACACACCTCAGCAGCTTCACTGCACACACAGCAGTGAACAAGTACAACACACACAGCTACTCTTAGTACCATTGATGTTAAGTTAGACTCTTTTTCTCCAATTGATCTTTCTGAGTTAACTTCAATAATTACTTCCTCCAAACCATCAACGTGTCTTTTAGACCCCATTCCTACAAAACTGCTCAAAGAAGTCCTGCCATTAATTAATTCTTCGATCTTAAATATGATCAACCTATCTCTAATGATCGGCTATGTACCACAGGCCTTCAAGCTGGCTGTAGTTAAACCTTTACTCAAAAAGCATCTCTAGACCCAGCAGTCTTAGCTAATTATAGGCCAATCTCCAACCTTCCTTTCATATCAAACATCCTTGAAAGAGTAGTTGTCAAACAGCTAACAGATCATCTGCAGAGGTTTATTTGAAGAGTTTCAGTCAGGTTTCAGAGCTCAGCACAGAAACAGCTTTAGTGAAGGTTACAAATGATCTTCTTATGGCCTCTGACAGTGGACTCATCTCTGTGCTTGTCCTGCTAGACCTCAGTGCAGCGTTCGATACTGTCGACCATAATATCCTATTAGAGCGATTAGAACATGCTGTAGGTATTACAGGTACTGCACTGCAGTGGTTTGTATCATATCTATCTAATAGACTCCAGTTTGTTCATGTAAATGGAGAGTCCTCTTCACACACTGAGGTTAATTATGGAGTTCCACAGGGTTCAGTGCTAGGACCAATTCTGTTTCAGGGTTCTGCAGATGAATGAGTCTGAGAGAACAGACGAGACATCTGTGAGACGCCATCGTCTTATTTTACTCTTGTTTTTACAGCGGGGATTGCGACATGTCTCTTTCTCTAACCTCAAAATCATTACATCACATCCTCTCTGAGGCTCAGTGATGGGAGGCTGAGAAAAAGGAAGCTGACCTCAGGTCTGTGTGGTGTCATGTTCTCATGGGTCACTGGGACAAAAACAAAATGTGACAGACAGAGAAGTGAAAACCAGAAAAGCTCGCTGACTGGCACGCCACAGTGCTCAAACACAAAGGTCAGGCCTGTTCCAGGATCCTGCTGCGAGCTGAGGTGTTGATCCCAGATGAAAAACAGCCAGCCGCCCTCACAGAGGAAGTGCTAAGCCCCGCCCATCACACTGGTCAGAGGGCTTTGAACCAAGAAACTGCCGCCTCATATCACTCATTAGTCACGTTGCCCACTCACGCAACACGTGCACGCTAACACAGTCAGTGTGTGTGTGTTCTCACTGTGACCACAGAGCACATACATCTGCACTGCCCCTGCTGAACATCTGGCCAACATGTGGCCCACATCTGCAGCTCTGGGCCACAGTTGGGTGTGCCTGACGTCTTGTGGTCGCAGCTGTGCCTCACGTGGGCCAGGAGTCAGGTGCTTTGTGACATCTGGGTCATGCAAACATGACCTCTGGGCCATGAGGGGCACAGTTACCTGAGCTCTGAGCGGCCAGGTGCTGTAAACAGCTGAGAGGACCAGTTCACCCGAGCGTCACTTACACGCGGTGCTTCCTTTAACCACTGACGACGCTCTGCTGTGCTTGGCTCAGTGGCGCCACCGCCGACTTTTTATCTTTGACGTTGTTTATAGATGCAGATCTGAGCGTGCTCAGAACCTGGACCAGAAAGAGTCCGACACTGGAAACTACTGTCCTATGAACTGGATCTCTGATTGATGATGACTTACTGTGGTTTAAGGCGTGTCCCACCTGACCATTGCAGGTGTTCCTGCAGCTCCCTGCTGTCGTAATAAGTCAAGCACAGTTAGGAGGTCGAGGCTGAGTTTGATCTCCAAAAGCTTCCTCAAATCTATCCAGAGCAGCTGAATCTTCACTCACACTGCAAACACGTGTTCCTCCAGCTTCAGGTGATATTCCCAGGTACGACACCGTGATCCACAAACGCAGCTTTCTGTCCGAGGTGGATCTAAAGGATGGGAGCAGACATTTGTCCTGAAAGGTTTGGAGGACGGCGCTGCAGCAGGTTTCTAAAGGGATTCATGGTTGGAATCTGGACACCAGAGTTCAGATTAAAGGTGTTTGGAAGCTGAAAGTGATGACTGGGTCTGCTTTACAGGGTGAAGCTGGTGGATGAGACGGGCTTTTACCCTCAGAAGTCCAACGCATCTTTTAGCAGCTGGGAAACTTTCAACTGCTGCGTTGGCATTCACCACTTCCTGCCAACCGCAAAGCACTTCCTGCTGAGATTCAGCACAAACAATCTGACAAAACCTGAACAGACGGCCCAGGTGTTTCCACGCAGACAAACAGCTCTGTGTTTGCTGCCATGGTAACGGCCCGGCGACAAACACTCAAAGATTACACGAAGCTAAAAACGGCTGGGCCAACATCTGCCAGCTAGTGAGACGATGCGAAGGGTTCAGGTCTCTGTGAGAGACTGTGAGGGCAAAACAGCGAAGAAGCAGTGACTGCGTCCTCTACAGGAGCACAGCAGAGAGGCCGAACCACTGCATGAACTCCTCCACCTTCTCTGAGCTTACGGTGGAATGAGGCTGGGAGGAAGCTGCAGTTTGACCAATCAGGAGCAGTGTGCGGGGCGTGGGGATTAGCACGCATGCAGGTGTAACTGGAACACCTGTGAAGGCCTTAATGCTGAAGCACACCTGCAGGTTCAGGAGCAGCCGCTGCCTTTCAGACCTGAATGCGTCTGCCTCAGTTCAGCCCGAGCTCCGCCCACTAAAACCCCTGGAGCTTTAGGAACCCAACGACACCACGACAACATCTGGCTTCAAACAAGAAACCATGCTGCTGAAACTTTATTTAAACATGTAGATTAAACTTTATTACCTTCATGAATAATGGCGTTGCCTTCATTTTTGTGCTCGTGTGTCATGTTTTGAGGGTTTTCCCAGGAAACATGAAGAACAAGTCTGTTCATCAAAACAGGAAGTTTATTCATCACAGCTGTTTCTACTAAACTTTATTTAAAGAGTTCTTTACCTGTTTAACAGCAGATATTCTTTATTGATCTGAAACAGCAGTGATGATCTAACCCTCATCTGCTCTCTGTTTATAAACAGTGTGTGTGTGTGTGTGTGTGTGTGTGTGTGTGTGTGTGTGTGTGTGTGTCATGTGACCCAGCCAGGCTTCAGGACCCTTCCTGCCCCCCCCCGCGTGCTCGCTCTGCTGCCTCAGCTCTTTCAGACTCTTTGTTTCAACAAAAGCTCCAAACACAAACGCTGGCTGAACAAAAGCAGCCATGTTTCCAGAGCAGCCATCCTCGCATAAATCCCGGTAGCGAGCGGGTCTGAGCGGTTTGACACTGGCAGGTGCTGATCGTCATGCCTCTGCCCCGACGCCGCTCATCCTTCCTTGGACAGACGGCCGCCGAGCGTCCACCCTCTGCCTCCTGCGGGAGAATGGGCTCGGCAGGCACCTCTGCCCCTCGCGGCGTCTTTGTAGGCTCCACCCCACCAGCGAGTGTTCCCTCTGGCCTGGGGACGCGGGTGTCACGGCGAGCTCTGGGCATCAGCAGCGTGTTCCTGCAGGGGATGAGGAGCAGCACAACACCAGTGCTGCCCCGAGGCAGCGAGCGAGCAGCGGGGAGCGGTGCGGCGGCAGCGGGACTGAACAGCTGTTTGATGGAATACCGCGACAAAGTGAGAGCGCTGGAACAGCTGAACCAACAGCTGGAGGAGCAAATCCGCCTCTGCCTGGACCGCAAGGCCTCGAGCGCCGGAGCCTGGGGACCCCTCAGGAGGGAGTGGGAGGAGGTTTACAGACAGGTGAGGGGGAGGGTCTAAACACCTGGTTCCATCTCCACACCATCCTTCATCCTATCGGCATGCTGCTCTCTGAGGTCAAAGGTCAACTCAGGCCTCTCCTTTCTTAGATCGTGGTGACAGTGACGCGTACGGTCAAACTCACCTCCACGTGCCTCGCCTAAAAAATCCTAAAATACAAAAGTCACCTGAGGCAAAAAAGTGAACCTAAAAAGTGTGCACGAGCAGCCGTGCACGAGCAGCCACGTTACGTCAGCTGATTCCTCCACAGATAAACATGTTCTGAGGTGTGAGAACAGAAACTAAGTATTCGGTGTTTGAGTCTTGCTGCTGTTTTTATTGGATCACCTGAGATCAGGTTAGGCTGCGGGGGCGTTACACTAAAGGTAACGCGTGGAGATAACGATGCCCCCCGCTGGCTGCAGCCACTCTCAGCTCTGTTTTCCCACACTCTGTGCAGGTCAGTGAAGCCATCCTGGACAACGCCCGGCTGATGCTGCAGACAGAGAACGTGCAGGCCAACGCTGAGGATTTCAAGGACAGGTCAGAGGTCAAACTCACACTGTGATCAGCAGTGAGCTGAAATGTGGCAGTGATCAGTGACAGACCTTCTGTCAGTAAACAGCAGCGTGAATGTGAAGTGATGGTTTCTTTTGGTCTCAGGTGATCACATGGTGCCCTTGTGTGGCTGCTGGAGGGTACAGCAGACACAATCATCAAACACATTATTCATTATTTTTAAGCACTGTTCATAGACTTTATCTAAAAAACAACCCCAACATGGAGCATCTGGTGATCAATAACCAGCCTCCTGCCCTGTGAGTCTCTCCTCCATGTTGTCCTGCGGCTGGTGGTCCTAGTTCTGCTCAGGAACCAGGACAACCAGCTGCAGGCAGAGTGACTGTGGCTCCCCCTGCAGGTTCGAGAACGAGCAACCATTCCGTCGGGCAGTGGAGGAGGAGATTAGCTCGCTGTACAAAGTGATTGATGAGGCGAACCTGACGAAGGCGGAGCTTGAGGAGCAGATGGAGAACATGAGGGCGGAGCTACGCAGTCTGGAGCACAACCATGAGCAGGTCCCACCAAACTCTGTTCAAAAATCTCCCAATTTAAGCTGCGGCAGCAGATGATGTCACCATTTAGAGAAAGGCTGAAAAACTA